CGTTTAATAAGTCAACAAAGTAGAAGCAGAGCCAAAAATGTCTTTGTAAATGCAGCAAAAATAATAAATAAATCAAGCAAAATAAAGATGACATGACACTGAGCGGTTCACTACAACAATGCCATCCGTCCATCTTCTTTCCGATTATCCGGGGCTGCTGCCCCCGCGGATGGCTGAACTTCTCACCCCATCTCTAAGGGAGAGGCCAGCCACCCTTCAGAGAAAGCCCTGAGATACTTGAACTCCTCCACTTGGGGCAGGAACTCGTCCCCGACCCGGAGCGGGCAATCCACCCTTTTCTGGCTGAGGACCATGGCCCCAGATTTGGAGGTGCCGATTCTCATTCCCACCGCTTTGAACTCGGCTGCGAACCGTTCCAAGGCGAGCTGGAGGCCATCACCCAATGAAGCCAACAGAACCACATCATCTGCAAAAAAGCAGAGATGAGATCCTGAGACCACCAGTGAAAGCCTTCCGCCACTTTGCTATGCCTAGAAATTCTGTCCATAAAATATGAGAATCGTGACAAAGGGCAGCCCTGGCGGAGCCATCACCACCAGGAACGAGTCCGACTTACTGCCGGCTATGTGGACCAAACTCTTGCAAAGGTTGTAAATGGCCCTTAGCAATGGGCTAGACACCCCATACTCCAGCAGCACCTCCCACAGGACACAGTCATATGCCTTCTCCAAGTCCACACAACACAGGGGGAACAATGCGGCTTTCGTCCTGGTCGTGGAACACTGGACCAGCTCTTTATCATCTTGAGAATTAAGACAACCAGACTGGTTGGGAAAAACTCCCATTGAAATGGTAAATGGCCTGCATTTGTATAGCGCTTTACTAGTCCCTAAGGACCCCAAAGCGCTTTACACTACATTCAGTCATTCCACACACACACTGGTGATGGCAGCTACATTGTAGCCACAGCTGCCCTGGGGCGCACTGACAGAGGCGAGGCTGCCGGACACTGGCGCCACCGGGCCCTCTGACCACCACCAGTAGGCAAACACGGGGTTAGTATCTTGCCCAAGGATATTTGGCATGCAGCCTGGGATCGAACCACCGACCTTCTGATTAGTGGCTGACCTGCTCTGCCACCTGAGCTACAGCCACCCTGGTACAGCCAGGTTAGATAAGGTACGGACTCTTTCCAGCACCCTGGCATAGACTTTCCCGGGGAGGCTGAGGAGTCTGATTTCCCCTATAGTAGGAACACCCCCCCCAACTCCCTTCTTAAAAATGAGGACCACCACCCCGGTCTGCCAGTACAACAATCTGATGATTATTAAAGCGAATGTTGAGTGTTGTGAGCGCAAGTTGAATAAACCGTGTGATGCATCAAACTGCGTGTTTCGAAAGACGTCCTGTAGACTGTCTGTCCTTGTGGAGATGAAGCTGAATCAGTCTGTTGCACTCTCAGACATCCTGGATTTAACTTATTCAGATTTATGTAATATAAGCTATTCTATAGTGGGCTAACCAGTCAAATGATATACTGACAGAGTGCTTGCACTTTAGGTTACTGTCGAAGTTTCATGTTAAATATTGCTTACCTTATCATGTCTCAATAAAATGAGATAAAACAATACAAACTGCTCACCTGGAAACAATCAGAAGCTTATCTTTAAATCTTTACTTCTGCCTTTGATGCCAGCCTGTAAATACTGAGATCAAATGTTAGTTTGGTTTACTCACAATACAGCATTAATGTGGACACCAGAGTGCAGATGTAGAATAATTTAGTATTATATTTCACACATACAGACACTAACTTAGGGTGAAATTTAGCTGTCTAAAGATGTGAGCACAGATTCTGTGATTGTCCTGCTTTTGGTTTCCTTTGTGCAGGATATCAAACCGTGGCTTCATCAGGTTTCACCTGCAGTGAGTTTAAGAGCACTCTTATTGAGCAAATGCCTCCCCCTGCTGGCTGATGAAGGTACAAACAGTTTAAATTATTTTGTTGGACGTTTCAAAGTAAATTAATTTGATACGTTATTAAAGGCCGTCTTAAAGCAAAACTAGAAACTGAAAATCTAAAAATAAAAGTGAGAATAAATAATGCTGAAAAACACCCTAAAGAGCAGACTAAAATCTAACTCACATTATTGCATAATTTCAAAACAAATCAGGAATTTACAGGTAAATGTGTTTAGCTGTTTGGTTTCTGTCAGATTTGTTGAAACAGATTCAAACACACATTAAAGACACTTTAATGTTTGTTTCCCTTTATTTAAACTCAGACTAGGATGTTGAAATCACTGTCATCATTCAGCTGTCTTTACAAAAAGTGCGTTTGTGGATCTTTAAATCAGAAACATACAGAGAAATGTGTGCTTCCTGCCATAAATAACATGTGAGATCTGCAGTACAAACAATTTATAAACATTTTTAATTTTATAGAACTTCTTTGAAACAAATCAAAATTGATTTTAATGCAACTTTTTTTAAAGAATTATCTTCACCTGTCAGATTTGGTTCACACAGTCACAACAACTGAACAGAAGAACTCTAACGTCTGTGACAAAGTGCAAAAGTGCAGAATAAAAATAAATGCAGCTGCAATATTTGATGAAAAGTTTAAATTATATGGTTTCAGAATAAAATTAAAAAAAAATGTCTTTCTTCACTCACTTCAGTTGTCAAAGAAAGATAAAAATGACTTTGGCGTCATTAAAGAAACACATTATGATCCATAAAATATCCGTTCAGTTTAACCTGAGGCGCTGACAGAGGATGTGATCATTCTCATGGAGAAAGTGAACTCACTCCTCACAGTGTTGATAACAAAACGTGCCTTTTCCCCTCTGTTTTTCATTGCATCTGCTGCCTCCCTCTCTGCATCAGTTATCACCTTTTTCTCCAGCAGTTTGTCGATCAGGCTGCTGAGAACAGGTCCTGATATCCCTTCAATGAAGCAGCTTCGTGTGTTTAACAGCCTCTCAGAAGGAGGACGACTCAAAGTTCCCACTGTAGGGGAGAAAAGACATCTCTTTCCAAAACACAGGTGGAGCTGCTCTTATCTTTCAGACTGAGGTCAACATCTGTGAGGATTCTTAAAATCACCTGGAATGTCGTGAAGTAGCTGTCGTAGTACTCATCATCAAAATCACGGATCACGATGTTCCTTGGAAGCAACAACACACTGAGGATGGATCTGGGATCAGGATCAACTGGGGGTTTGTAGAAGAGCAGAACCAAAGCTTGGACTGGGTCAGGAGGAGAGTCTTCATCCTGAGGTGAGGATTAATAAACTCGATGCCTTCGTCATTCACATGAGCGACCTGCAAGAACTGACCTCCACCTGTGGAGATGAGCTCACAGTGTGGGAGACAAAGCTGACACACAGACTGCTGCTGACATTTGATGTCAAACAGGGGTCCTGCAGGCTTCTTGTGGTGTTGGGCCAGCAGCCTCCTGTTCCAAGGGACAGTCCTGTAAACCACGTCTCCTTCTGCCTTCATTAAAAACACCAGGCCGGTCACACTGCACTGGTACAGGCCTGCACTGGAGCAAACTAGGTTTCATCATTAAAAATCATCATTAATAACAGGTGTGAAGACCTTTAACAGCATATCAGGTGAGCTGTTTACTTGTGTGACGTTGTTTGCACAGAGCATTTTGCTCAGTGAGACCATGCTGTGAGAACAAGGCAAGAGGCAGGATGTCCTCCAGGGCCCACTGAAATTACTGGAGAAGTGAAAGAGAGGATAAGCTGAGAGTGGAGCAGATTTTCATTAAAGTTTATTTAATCATCATCCAACACAGTTTCAGACTCCATATTAATGCGTTTCATGACTTCTTCATAGTCAGAACTGCTACCTGCTGCTGATTCGTCAACAAAAGGTGAACAAGTGTCATTAAGACCATCTCGTGTTGCCTGAAGAGGCTGACGGATATCTGGTCTTGACCCAAGGGCATCTTGTGTCGCCTGAAGGGCATGTTCTGTTGCCCGAAGGGCATCTTGTGCTGCATGAAGGGCATGTTGTGTTGCCCGAAGAGTATCTTGTTTCGCCTGAAGGGCATCTTGTGTTGCCTGAAGAGAATCTTGTTTCGCCTGAAGGGCATCTTGTGTTGCCTGAAGAGAATCTTGTTTCGCCTGAAGGGCCTCTTGTGTTGCCCGAATGGCTTCTTGTTTTGCCTGAAGGACCTGAGAGGCATGTTGTTTTGCCTCGAGGGCCCGAAGTGCATCTTGCTTTGCATGAATGGCATTTTGTTTTGCCTGAAGGGCATCTTGTTGTGCCTGAAGGGCATCTTGTTTTACCTGAAGGGCCCGAAGGGCGTCTTGTTTTGCCCGAAGGTCATCTTGTGTTACCTGAAGGAGCCGAAGGTTATCTTGTGTTGCCTGAAGGACCCGAAGGTCATCTCGTTTTGCCCGAAAGGTATCTTGTGTTGCCCGAAGGGCGTCTTGTGTTGCCCGAAGTGCATCTTGCGTTGCCCGAAGGGCGTCTTGTTTTACCTGAAGGGCGTCTTGTGTTGTTTGAAGGGCCTGAAGGCCATCTTGTGTTGGTCGAAGGAACTGAACGGTATCTTGTCTTGGCTGAAAAGCCCTAACGGCATCTTGTGTTGGTCGATGGGCCCGAACGGCATCTTGTGTTGGTGGAAGGAACCGAACGGCATCTTGTGTTGGTTGAAAGAACTGTACTTGTGTTTGAAGGGCCTGAAGGCCATCTTGTGTTGGTCGAAGGAACCGAACGGCATCTTGTGTTGGTGGAAGGAACCGAACTGCATCTTGTGTTGGCTGAAAGAACTGTACGGCATCTTGTGTTGGTCGAAGGGGCTGAACAGCATCTTGTGTTGGCTGAAAGAACTGTACGGCATCTTGTGTTGGTCGAAGGGCATCTTGCGCTGCCTGAACTGAAGTTAGTTCAGCTCTTGCTGTTCTATTCCGTGTTGGACTGTACATCTTGTTCTAGTGGCTGTTATGCACCCAGGTATGAACATCCAATGATATACAAGAGTTGAAAAACAAGCTTACTGAGAATTTAGGGATGAACTTCTAAAACACTGGTTTAGAGGCTGAGACACGGGTTTATTCTGGATCATTAGGTTACGATCTAACTTCGGAGTCTTCTTTTTCTCCTGTGCTTTCGCTTCCACTCGAAGTTTCACTTCTTGATTTTTTATGTTAAGCGATATATCCAAATTCCTCCATCAAGGGAAATTGAGCTTGCCTTTGTTTTCAATGACCACTGAAAATGTTATGAACTATTCAAAACATTTTACAGCGACTTTGGCTGTTGGAGTTTTCCCCTGGTGGAAAACACAGAATAAAATTCATTAACTAATTAAAACTCTTATAAACACAGTGCCTCACAGTGTTTATTTTAATGCGACAATGGTAAATGATTTATTAACTCATTCACTGCCATTGACGTCTATAGCCGTCAATGGCAGTGAATGAGTCAATGGGTTTAACTCATTCACTGCCAATGGCTGGCAGGGGTGACTATGTAACCTTAAAAAAAAAACCCCAAAACTTTCAATCAACAGTATAGACCAGGGGTGTCGAACTCCAGACCTCGAGGGGCGGTGTCCTGCAGGTTTTAGATAACACCAGTCAGCACACTTGAATCAAATGATTAGGTCATTACCAGGCCTCTGGAGAACTTCAAGACATGTCGAGGAGGTAATTTAGCCATTTAAATCAGCAGTGCAAGGACATATCTAAAACCCGCAGGACACTGGCCCTCGAGGCCTGGAGTTCGACACCTGTGGTATTGACCAGCGGTCCCCAACCTTTTTTGCGCCACGGACCGGTTTGTGCCCGACAGTATTTTCACGGACCGACCTTTAAGGTGTCGCGGATAAATACAACAAAATAAAACTAGTACCGAAAAAAAGAAGATTTATTCATAACACACGTGAAAAGACCCAGGAAAACAGAGTTAACGATAAAACGATAACAAAATAACGCTGAAAACCGATAAAAACCCTGAAAACCATACATTTCACACCTGAGCCTCAACTCTCGCGGCCCGGTACCAAACGACTCACGGACCGGTACCGGTCCGAGGCCCAGGGGTTGGGGACCGCTGGAATAGACAATATAAATATGACACAGCCCATAGAAAAATACTACAAATACTTGAAAGTTACAGGTGAAAATGTAAATGGCATGTGCCATCTTAATACTGTTTAAACTCTGAAAAATGCATACATGGCTTGCAAAGAAAAATATGTAGCTTTAGCTGGTTCTTGCATTTCCATGGCACAAGTCAAATGTCCGTTTTTATGCAGATTTTCTCTTTCCCCGTTTATGTGAATGAGGAACAGTTTTACTTTGATTTGCTTTTTGTATTTCTATATTAGTTTCAGGCTTTTTTATTTAGCATAAAATATATATTGTTGAATAAAGTAACATCATGTCATTTGTAGGTGCATGTTTTGTCTAACAAATATGTCCCATAGCCAATGAAATGCATTTTATTTCTTATATTTAACTGCTGTGCTCCAGTGCAATTCCTTTCCAGCCCCCTGTTTGAAAAAATCCCAGACCGCAGTAACACTCGCTCCATCCATCACTTATCCCAGCTGAAGTCATTTGAAGGCAATAATAATACAAATTGATTATACAGAATGTTAAACACACTTTGATAAGTTATTAGAACTCCTTGTATTTTTACTCAGTTGTATAAAGCATTTGTATTCTATTTTTACCCTATTGTATATTTTATTCTATTTATTCTACTGTATATAGTATTTTATTTTATTCTATTCTGTACAGTTGTGTACAGTATTTTATTCTTATTGTATTCTAATTTTTGCTATATAACTTTTGCACTGTTCACTTCTGCTGTGACAAAACAAATTTCCCACGTGTGGGACTAATAAAGGTTATCTTATCTTATCTTATATTTATGTCATTCATGCAAGGCAAGGCAAGTTTTTGTATAGCACAATTCAACAACAAGGTGATTCAAAGTGCTTTACAGACACATTAAAAAACAAAAACAATAAAAAAAAAGCATGATTTAAAATTGATTAAAAAAAATAGATAAAATCAGAGATAAAATCAGTAGTTAAAATGTAAGTTTTGAAATTTAAGCTTAAAAGTGTGGATTTGGTGCTTTATTCAAATGCAGCTGAGAACAGGTGAGTCTTCAACCTGGATTTAAATAAACTGAGTGTTTCAGCTGATCTGAGGCTTTCTGGGAGTTTGTTCCAGATATAAGGAGCATAAAAGCTGAATGCAGCTTCTCCGTGTCTGGTTCTGACTCTGGGAACTGATAAAAGACCGGATCCAGATGACCTGAGGGATCTGGAAGGTTCATACTGGGTCAGGAGGTCACTGATGTATTTTGGTCCTAAACCATTCAGAGCTTTATAGGCCAGCATCAGAACTTTAAAGTCTATCCTCTGACGGACAGGCAGCCAGTGTAAAGACCTCAGAGCTGGACTGATGTGGTCCACTTTTTTGGTCTTAGTGAGGACTCGAGCAGCAGAGTTCTGAATGAGCTGTAGTTGTCTGACTGATTTTTTAGGTAGACCTGTAAAGATGCTGTTACAGTAATCAAGCCTACTAAAGATGAATGCATGGACTAGTTTTTCCAGGTCCTGTTGAGACATCAGATCTTTTATCCTTGAAATATTCTTGAGGTGATAGTAAGCTGACTTTGTTATTGTCTTAATGTGTTTTTCTAAGTTTAGGTCTGCATCCATCACTACACCCAAATTTCTCGCCTGGTTTGTGGTTTTTAGGTGTATAGATTGAAGTTCTCTGGTGACCTGTAATCGTTTTTCTTTGGCACCAAAGACTATTACCTCAGTTTTGTTTTTGTTTAGCTGGAGAAAATTGTGGCACAACCAGTCATTAATTTCCTCAATGCATTTACCAAGAGCCTGTACAGGGCATGCAAGGCAACAATCATAAAGAAAACAAGAAGAAAAATAGACAAAGAGAAAGTCATAAAAAAAAAAAAAAAAAAAAAAAAAAAAAAAAAAAAAAAATTAAAAACAAAAAAAAAAAAAAAAATAAAAACAAAAAAATAAACTAACCTAAATAAACATGCTTTAATAAAAAAATCAAGTTTTAAACCGAAACTGAATGACTTACGGGAGACGTTTACTACTACTGTTCTATCGAAATTTTAAACGAATATCCTCATTATGTGGCTCTCATTTTTCTTAGAAACAAAAATTAGGTAAAAAAATAAACAAATAAACTGCTAATTCTTTGTTTTTACATTTATCGGGTCCCAATATGCCCGAATATCAAAGAGAAATAAAAAAAAATGCATGCCATGGAAGAGTTCGGGTCTTAGGAGGTTAACGTTACTTCATAGTACACATTTGCTTTACATTTCCTCGCTTTCTGTCTGTCACACCAGATCTGCTCATATTAATCGAGGCCTATGTTTCAAATAATCAGGTCTACAGGTAATCCGTGTAAACAAACCCCACCGAGACCCTTCCTTCAAAACTTTGATACATTTTAAAAGTGTAACTGTTATAGATAAATTTGCTAGAGATGCTCTCGTGTTTCCTTACCTGCTGCTGGAGCTCCCATGTTAAATCCAATCTCGCATTTCCTCCTTCGACTCGAATAATTAAATAAATAAATTAAAAAGTGCGAGTTACTCTGTCGATGTTACTCAGGTGAAGACGTGTACGTTTCTAATCTTCTCCAGTTATTTCAAAACTCCGCTAATGAATAGTCCCGCCCACCTTTTTTTCAGGTGCGTCTTCTTTTTCTTCTTCTTCTTGATATTATTTATTGACGGTTTGCAAACAGCAAAATAGTGCTTTACCGCCACCAACTGGTTGGAGTCTTGACTGAAATGTGAAAATCAATCAAATCCTCTCAAACAAATGCGTCTGCCTTAACGTTTGCTGGATCTCTATCAGGATGTCAGGTCTGCAGTCTGAGTGACTGTCTTGTAAACTGGCCAATGATGAACTCGAGTCTGAGCATAACACAGATCTCAGCGGGTTTGCATCTTCAATCCACTGGACAGCTAGCAGTGTTGAAACCACTTCTCCTGTTTACACTGAATCATCACTGATCCCTTTCCTTACTTTGATATTAAACTCATATGCCCGCACTGTATGTGAGTTTATTTTATTCCAGATTCGATTTTTTTTAAAGTAGACCAAACACTTTATTTAAACATTATCCATTTCCTAATTTAGAAAGGAACTCCTAGCTTTAAAGGATGTGTTGATACTTTTCCTTGTTGTTTTTTCAGGTTGTTTATTAAACAAAGGATAAATTAGATTGTTGAATGAAGTAGTACCATAAGACATCTTACGTATTAACGTTTGCGGCCATGTGACCTAGAGAATATGAAACAAAGAAAAAATATGTCTGTTAAGTAATACACAATATATAGAGATATACAGTAATATAAAACAAACGTTATTTATGTTCTGTTTTAAAGAGATTTTATTCATTTTCCCAAAACCACGTAGAACTATCACAGCAGTTGGGAGATCTTTGTGATGTTTGCCTGATGGGAATTACACCTACATGAAGAGAAATACTGCATCCGAAGTCTGTTTCCCAATCATAATAATTTGACTTCACTGAAATCATTTTGAATTCGTGCTGACCCAGGGTGAGATCTGAAACCTGCAGGACACCGGCCCTCGAGGCCTGCAGTTAGACACCCCTGGTGTGATACATCACACTGCATGTGGTTTGAAAGACTTCCTGTAGGCTGTTTGTCCTTGTGGAGATGAAGCTGAATCGGTCTGTTACATTCTCAGACATCCTGGGTTTAACGTATTCAGATTTATGTAATATAAGCTACTCTATAGTGTGCTAATCAGTCAAATGATATACTGACAGAGAGTGCTTGCACTTTAGGTTGCTGTCCAACTGTCATGATAAATATTTCTTACATTATCATGTCTCAATAAAACAAGCTCAAAAGATACAAATTGCTCATCTGGAAACAATTATGACCTTATTTTTTAAACTTTTCCTTCTGCATTTGTTGCGAACTTGTAAATGCTGAGATCAAATGTTAGTTTGGTTTACTCACATTACACATCACAGAATTAATGTGGACACCAGAGTGCAGCTGTAGAATCATCTATTATTATATTTCATGCATACAGACACTATCTTAGGGTGAAATTTAGCTGTCCTGTGTGACAGGTAAATGCAAAGATGTCAGCACAGATTCTGTGATTGTCCTGCTTTTGGTTTCCTTTGTGCAGGATATCAAACTGTGGCTTCTTCAGGTTTCACCTGCAGTGAGTTTAAGAGGACTCTTATTGAGCAAATGCCTCCCCCTGCTGGCTGATGAAGGTACAAACAGTTTAAATTATTTTGTTGGACGTTTCAAAGCAAATTAATGTACTTTAAGGTACAAAAGAGTACCTTAAATTAAATTAAATTAAATTGATACCTTATTAAAGGCTGTCTTAAAACTGAAAAACATTGTTTCACCTTACCATAAACAAGTTAAATAACCATGGGGACAAGTAATTATATTTAATAAATCAAACTAGAAACTGAAATCCAAAAATTAAAGTGAGAATAAATAATGCTGAAAAAATAGCCTAAAGAGCAGAGTAAACGGTAAGTCACAGTACTGTATAGTTTGAAAACAATGCGGGAATTTAAAGGTAAATGTGTTTAGCTTGCGCCTTCAACACGTGTACATTCAAATTTTGGAACAGGCTCAACTTTGCTCTTGTTTAATGGTTTTTAGCTGCTCCCAAAAGTCGTTTTATGGCTTTAATATTTCCAACTGATAAGGAGACTTACTGCAT